TTTCTTATAACATATTCTGCATATAAATTGCATAGGTAGGGTGAAAGGATACAAACTTGTCTGACCCCTTTGCCAATTGGGGACTATTTTCAGCTTTTCTTTGGCCATGTCCTCCATTTTCCTCGAGTGCCCTCCATCTGAGGCGCCTTGTCCTCCTTTGAGGAGGACATCTGGTCACCCTGGGGAGAGGAGCTGCCCCGCTCTTTAACTGCTTCCAGCTCTTTACAGTCTTATCAATAGGCCACTCTGATATAGCGCGAGTCATAAATAATTTAACATTATAAAATAATAAAAGGCTCTTCTTCTCCTCTTGACTAAAGGGCTCTACGCTTGTTTACCTGAGACTCAGGCGCGTTTCGCTCGCCCTCTAGTGGCCGCAGTGAGTCCTTACACTCCAAAAAGGCGGGAAACCATGCAGGTACAACGCAGGGGGCAAAACTATTGTGGGCCTCTGGTCTTCCCATTATGCTTTACACTGGGGAATTAATTTATTATTATTTCTTGGTGTTATTTAAACAATCCCTGTTCTCCAGGGGGACATACCAAAAAAAAAATCACGTTGCTTGCCCACAGGGAAACCATACTTGCCCATAGAGAATCATTGGAGAATACTTGCCCATAGAGAATCATTTATAGATTCCTTTTTTGGTGTTAAATATTTTAGCAACCCAGCCTCTATATCAGGGATAGGCAACCTTTCCCCTTTAAGGGCTGAAGGACTTCAGCTCCCAGAAGCCTCAGCCATGTTGGCCAATAGCTCCTGGGATTCTGGGAGCTGAAGTCCCTCGGCCCTTAAAGGGGAAAGGTTGCCTACCCCTGCTCTATATTCTCTATGGGCAAGTATGGTTTCTCTGTGGGCAAGTATTCTCCAGTGATTCTCTGTGGTCTCCCTATGGGCAAGTACTGTTACTTGTTTTAGGACGTTATCACACACGGGTCTCAAAGCGGCAAGAAAGCGGTATGGAATCAATCCAGAACTATACCGGTATAGATCCCACAAGACGAAAATTGCTATCAGACGCAACTAGCATCATTGCGCAATGAACGAAAGCAGCATCATTCCGGTATCATTCTGGTCGCGCAAATGTAATTCCCCAGGAAACCAGCATTTAAAAGAACGGGGATGATGCCGCATTGGGACGGGGATGGGACGGGGTTCTCTGCGACGTCGTGTGAACACACGGGAAAAGGAACCGCAATGGGACGGGGATGGGACAGGGTTCTGTCTGCTTTAGACCCCGTGTGATAAGGTCCTTAGTGTGTCCCTTTTCTCCAGGGTCATAGTCCAACACTTAAAACAGTAGAATTCAAATTTATAGCTGTGTTATTCTGTAGAGTCAGTATGTAGAGAGATCTTGTAGCACCTTTGAGACTAACAAAGAAAGAAGTTGGCCGCATGAGCTTTCGTAGACTAAATTCTACTTCATCAGAAGCCATGTCCGCCATTTTCCTTGAATGCCCTCCATTTTGAGCATGACCAAGAAGCAAGGATTTACATTTCTGTGAGTGTGTTTAGCTTTTCTTTGGTCATGTCCTTTGTTTAGCTTTTCTTTGGTCATGTTCATCTGAGGAAGAAGTAAACTGAAGTCTAGGAAAGCTCATGCTGCCAATTTCTTTCAGTTAGTCTCAAAGGTGCTACAAGATCTCTACGTACTTAAATCAATGATGTCCCTAGGGTTGGTATCGCCTGGTGTGGTAACTCATGGTGTCACCCTCCTCAATTGACCTTTTCCCATATCACACCATACAGAAGTTTTTTTGTACTAACATTACACACAAATCATAATCCCCCTACATATTTTGGGGGGGGACATCTTGTCTAAAAGCATTTTATTTATTATCCTAAATAAAGATATTCTATTCATTTTTTCTAGGAAAAAAGGGCTGGGGGGCGAGAGAATATCCCTCCTGCAACTTTCCCATCCTCCCCAGGCCCTTGCATTGTTAAGTCCACTCTATCTATATCTTTGGCCAGGTTGTAAGAGTCAATATGTTTCCACCTGACTTACCTTTCAAGAGGTAACTAGATCTTCGTCAGCATCCCACCGTCTATAAATCACAGAGTGGAATGGTCAGATCCCAGGTTTAGAAGATGCTGCTGGCTTTTGTCTGCTCCTGGGTCATGGCTTCATCAAGCAAAGCAAGAGGCCATGGAGAATTAATGTGACACACGTTGCTCCTTTTAAAGAAAATGCTGGCCATAAAAGGTGGGTGGGGTGGGGGGAATCCAGATCCATGAGATGGTACAGAAAGCAAATTGTTAGCTGGGAAGCAGGATGGCAGCAGGGAGACTTAACAGTGTTGAAATCATATAGTGTCTGCATCTGTTCATCAAAGCTGACTCTCCCCATTTCCTTTAATCTCTATTAATAATGAAAAGCATTATTAATTTAGAACTTAGAGGTTTAAATGCTCTGCCTTGCACTCTGTCCTCATGGAAAAATAAGAGTTTCTTTTGTTAAAAAACGACACCTAAAATAGCACATGAAGATTCTGCATTTTTGATGATACTGTGACTTCAATCTATGCTTAAGGCATGCTTACAATGGTCCACTGAGGTCAGTGGGTTTATATTAAACATGAAAAACTCTGGATCCAACCTCATACCTTTCTTTCCTCTATTCAAGATGACCTATAAACTATGAAACAGTATAAAGTCTACAGAATCACACATGTACACAGAACAAAGTTATTTGTTATTCCAAAGAGCTGTAAAAACACCACCCTGTTATGCTCCAAAGACTTTTTAAATGTGCTTTGGGCTTCTTTCTGAATAATAAAAAGGAAACTACATTAGTTCAGCTAGTGCTGCCAACCAAACAGGAATAAAATCAATCTCATGGCCTACACTTGGGCCTTCCACAGCAGCTGCCAGAAACAGCAGCATGAAGATCAGTGTAATTGCCTGCTAATGGCTGGCAGGCAGCTAACCAAGGGTCTGTTAAAGGTAAAAGGTATCTTTACCACACTGGAAGCTAGCACAAGAGCACAGAATCAAATGCATGTTTCCCCTCCTCAGAATCAATGAAGTCAAAGTATCGTAAGTAATAATTTTTAGAAGACCTGGGCCTCAAGGAGGAAAGCTGGGGTGATGCTTTTTGCTGAGCTCTTGGAAAAGTTATTTGACTGCAGCTTCCAGAATCAGCCAACCATTGACCCTTTGGCTACAGAAGATGTAGTCCAAAAACCAGAATGTTTTCAAGGTCTGATTCTGAGCAAGGAACCTTCTCTGACAACATTAACTGCTACTGATTGGGTTACCAAAGGGTGGGATATAAATAAATTTTATTATTATTATTATTACTACCCCCATGAATGGCAGATAAACACATGTCTCAAGAGCTGCCAGGATTTTCCAGAAGCTACTCCTCCATTTTTTTTCACCTCTGGATTCAGGTTCAATCTGTTGGCCTAAATCCAGCTAATAATGAGTTCCAGAGCTTCATTTAACTAATTTTTTTACATGACAGAAAGAAATCAACTTAAGGCCTTTCTCAAGTTCAGTTATATTGTTATTGTTTTTAGTTTGCTTCCTTTTTATAATTGGGAAGGGGGTCGGGGTAGGGGATTATTTAGAAATGTGGTTTTTAATTATATATTGTATTTTATTGTTACTCTTACTTGTAACTCGCCTCGATCTGCAGGGAGAGGCGGCCTATAAATAAAAATTATTATTATTATTATCATCATCATCATCATCAGATGACCTGTCCATATTAAGCCCTTTTAATAAAAGCCTGGCCTAATTAATTGTTGAATTATCCCAAATCTTTCATGTTCTAAAGATGTAAAAACCAAAGACATGGAACAATTCAAGATGACTTTTGGCCTGTACAGACTGCCAGAAATAATCCAGTTTGAGACCACTTTAACTGTCCTGGCTCAATGCTAGAGAATCATAGGAATTGTAGGTTTTTCTGAGACATTGAGCCTTCTCTGTCAAGGAGCTCTGGTGCCACAATAAACTACAGTTCCCATGATTCCCTAACATTGAGCCAAAGAAGTTAAAGTGGTCTCATGATGGATTATTTCTGTTCAGACCCTTAGTTAGGTCAGCCTTTTGTGAAAGGGCAAGCAAGAGTAACAAAGTTTTTGCACTCTTTTGTTTGCATTGTTCTGAGTCTGTCCAA